GCTTTTGCACAAAGTCTACTAACACCAAAACATTTAACACTTTTGAATTTGCTGTGTTGTCTTCCATATTCTTCCTCACAAGTTTTTCTCCATTAACCTTACATCCAGTTCTAGACTTGACATGGTGACCTTACTCACAACCAACAGCTCTCTCTCCTTTCTGTTGTCACCATGGATGATGGCTCTGATCTCAGCAGGGTTCAGCTGTTGGCTCTTCCTCTTCTTTCCCTGGGTTGTCCAGCCGTCCAGTGTCAGCTCCTCTTCTAATATCTCTCTGTCCTCCAGGGATGATTCAATGCCGAGATCTTTCAGTGTAGAGCAGGGGTGTCCAAAGTCGGTCCTCGAGGGCCAGCATCCTGCACATTTTAGTTCTCTCCTTGGTGGTAGTAACAACCTTTTCAGCTTGTCAATGTTCCTCTTAGTCCTTCTAACAAGCCATAATTTGATCCAGGTGCGTTAAACCAGGGAGAGAACTAAAACATGCAGGATGCCGGCCCTCGAGGACCGACTTTGGACACCCCTGGTGTAGAGTGTGCTGCTTGAAGTGAGGGGAAAAGCTTTGTCCCCCCATTCAAGAAGAGTTTCAGCTAGGCTGGGTATGGTGACTGGGCTATAATGTTCTTTTCTTTTAGCATTTTTATTACCTCTCGGACCTTTTTCCTTTTCTTCTGCAAGTCAGGTGAGTAGACATGGTCGAAATAGATCGTGTGCTCCTGATACTTTATGTTTCTTTGCTTACAAGCTTGTAACAGCATTTTTTATTTTACATTAAAGTCCAGAAATCGGACTATAATGGATCTTGGGGGCGCCACCGTAGCTTTAGGCTTTGGGCCTAACGCTCTGTGTGCTCTTTCTAGTTTAATGACAACTTCTTGAAACTCTAGAGAAGTACTCAGAAACTCTATGATAAAGTTTACCATGTCTTCTTTTTCTGCTCCCTCTGGGACGCCATACAGCCTGATGTTATTACGGCGGAGTCTGTTTTCCATGTCATCACATTTAGCCGTGAGGATAGCTTGTCTTTCTAGCAAATGTCCCAGTGCTCTCTCCTGCCGTATACTTCTGTCCTCCGCCTCAGTCAGTCTCCTGTCTAGCCCCTCCATCTGTTTCTTTAAGTCATCCATGGATGATTGTACCCGGTTTAGAGAGCTCTTCAAGTCCCGGAATAAGTCGGTGTTCTCCTGGCGCAGTTTTCGTAATTCCGTTAGCATCGCTGTTTCCTCGCTAGCATCTCCTGTAGCTTTCAACAGTGTAGCTTTGGCTAACGTTAGCTGCTTGGAGCCTTTTCTACCAGCCTTCATATCTTTCTTCTCCGTATTTTCTTCCTTCTCCGTCCTCTGGAGCCCTTTCCTTTTAGTTTAGTAGCCATTTATCAGTTTTCATTACTTTGAAGGCTATTTATTGTGGGTCTGGCAGAGCAGCAAAATTATGCGTCCGTCTTCTCCATTGCCTTCCCGGAAGTCCCACAATTTTCCATTATAATAAGAAAATATACTAAACACATTAATTTAACATTAAAATAACATTTTGAAGCAACTCACATACCTGTTTAAAACAAAAATATTCTCAGCACAGCAGTTCTTGGGCTGTGGCTTCCCCACACACACCTTAACCAACCAAAAGAACAAAAATAACCATGTTGGCACAATAAACTCAATAAATGTCACTACCGTGGGAATTAAATACCCACTACAGTGCTGCGGTAAACATAAACAAGTTAAACAACAATATATAGCAACTTGTGAGTTTATCAAACATACTTTTTAGAACATTTTTGAATATTTGAATACACAAACAAAAGACAGCTCTGTACGCTTACCTCTCCCCAGCACAGCTCATCCCGAACCAAGGAGGGCAGTGGGAACACACAGGATGTGACATGGGAACAGGAAGCAAGAAAATGAAAGCTTCTCCACCAAAATAAAATACAATTCAAAAACAAACAAACAAAAAAACAACAACAAATATATACAGATAATGAGGATGGATTTGGGGTGAAATATAAACACTTTTACACACTTGCTACATTAGGAACCAAAAATAAAAGCAGTATAAAACTTAAATAACCCTGCTGCAGTGCAAAGGCAATAACAGACATGTCAATTCAAAGAAAAGGAGTTTTGAGAAGGTTCATAAGAAAAATAAAAATTAAATAAAATTAAATCAGCTACACTGATTGCATCCAGTCCACGTTGTTAGCAGAACTAGAGGGCCCCAAAACCACATTTCACTTAGGGCCCAATGGAGGGTTGGGCCAGCCCTGCTTGGGATCATCTAGTGGATGATCAAAAAAGCAGTAGACAAGAGACTTCCCACAAAGACCCAAAACCCCCAGTTCTCATCGCTTTTGGTTTTGATGCTCACTTTTTTTGGTTGAACTCAAACAGTTTTAATTAATAGAAACATGAACAACCTGGGCGGGGCCTAAAGACGAACGATGTAAGACGTGTCCCTATTGGTTAGTGCTGACTGACTGACTGTCTCCCACTTGAACTGACGCGACAGAATGTGAATGGTAAGAAATCCTCTCAAAATTACACCGTTTAACAGCTGCTAAAGTGTCCACCCTTTTTTCAGAGAAGAAATCTTACACAATTTATGACGACAATCATAGATCTTCTTTCTCATGGTCCCCGTTAGCATATCATGCTAGCTAATGTTAGCATTAGATAAAGTGTGTATACTAGGCTTGATTGGAACTGATATTGTTTTGCAGTAGCTCAGCCAGAGTTCTTCTTGAATCTGAATTTCTCTGTTGAACACACACCTTACATCAGATACAGTTTGCCTGTTTTTATGTTGAATTCGTTAACCAGTGCACCTTTGTCGAGTTGCATAAAGCGCTGCAGAATATCAAGTGTATCTGGAGGAAATATGTGTTAAGAAATGTATGTAATGCTTATGTCTGTGTGTATTATCCAACATTGCAGCTAAAGTGGGAAAACACATTGGACCTCTGCACCAGTGGTCCACCTTAATCTCGAAAACACATGTCAAGAGACTGTACATACAGACTATTTACACACATAACCCTAACCTACATAATCAGTGCTGTGGATGAAGGGAGGCAATGTAACTCTAAAATATATATTTTCTTCCAGATGCAAAATGAAAAAACAAGCTGTTAGATCACAGGCCGAAGTAGGATATTCATGTTTTATGTCTTTTTTTAGTGTTAATTGGTGTGTATGTGTCTTGTATTTAGTTTTATTTTGAATTATGTTTAGCATGCTTTTTGCTGTGTTATGTTATGAAATTAAATCGGCGTTCTCCTAATTCCCTATTCTAGTACGACAGGCAGAGTGCAGCTGAAGCAGGACAGCGCTTGTAGGCGTTACTGAACAGAACAATTCTTTCAGCTCCTAGAGAGGATCAGAACATGAGGGAGCATCAAAACCAAAAGTTTGAGAATTGCAAACAAAAAGTTCTGACGTGCAAAAGTTTATGTTCTCCAAAAAACGTTTTCACTTCATGGAAAAAAATAATGATTCTAATTTCAAAAAATATTTTTTTTAAACAAAACTTTTTTAAATCATAGAATTCAAAAAGTTTTGACCACAATTTTTTTTTAATTGAGAAGTTTTTTTTGTATGAAACAAAAAAATATTACAATTCGCAAAGTTTTGATCACAATGACAAAATTTTTTTGAGAGTTTTTTTGATTGAATAATTGTGAAACATATTTAACTCCATACCGCACAGAGAAGACCAGTGTGCACACATGCACACTGTGAGAACACTGGTGCCCACGGCTCCACTACGGCGGATAAACGTATGTGTGTAATATTTAATTTACTGTTTATTTTTGACAGGAGCAGCCCACAATAAAATAATTTCTCCAAATGTAAATGCATTTAATTCTGATCCAAAAATTTTGTTGGGACAAATAAATTCGTATTTATTTGACGAATTTTTATACTGAGGTTGAGTTAGCAGGCAATGTTAAAATGAATCACCATCCAGCTACAACTTTCTTACGGAAAAATTATCAGATTATCACTGCATCAGTGCTGCATCAAGCTACAGAGTAATACTAGATTTACGCCATCAAAAGTGATCCTGTAAATGTATCTTTGCTGATTTAAAAAAAAAAAATCAAAAACAAACAAATGAAGCAGATACTTGCTGGTCAAGCAGAAATGTGGATAACTCTGGATCAATTTTGAATCCTTTGAGAGCTTTTAGCTCATCCACCTATGAAGTCCAGCTCCGATGTTTACCCTCGTTTTATTTCGGGCTATGTCTAATTCTCTATTTTAAGCTTGCCTTTCATAGATCTTTTGTTTACTTGTCTTGGTTTTTGGACCAGGTACTACTCCAAAAATTAGATGTTTCCATGTAATATTGGTTTGTTGCTCTGCCACTAGCACAGCAGCAGCAGCAGCAGCAGCAGCACACTGCCTGCTTCAGCTTGAACGACAGGTGAGCGTGCGCGCTGTGTGGAAGTGAGCTGCACATACACAGCTACGAATGATAGAGTAAAGACACTCCTCCTGGCTCTAGTTGACTGGTTTTGGTTCGGGAGCGACATATTTTTATAAATGGTATTAGGGGCACAAGGAAGAGGCAGGGGGACCTGATTTTTTTCACAGCTTATCACTCTCTTCTTCTGCTTTCAGGGTATAGTGACATTTTTAACAAACATGAAAAATAAAAAAGTTACATACTGCACCTTTAAATAAAAACATTTAAAAAAATAGAAGGAATTATTCTGGTAATATAACTTAAGTATTAGGATTAAAAACTTCTACAACCACATCGAGTTCAATGTTGTTAATCAGAGTCTTCGTTGTCTTCATGTGTTCAAACACAGCAATAGACAAAAGCATTGTTACATGAATTCTATTCTAACACTGAGATTTACTGTAAGTCTGTTGTTCAAAATTAACTAAGCTAAAATGTTTCTCTTCTTTCCATTGGTGACAGATTCACATAAAGTAAATGTTACTGTCTTAACTGCTGAAGCACTAAGTGAAAATTAGACTGTTGTGGACCCTCAGGCTTCTACATGTTCATTGAGACATCCAGGCCCAGGCTGGAGGGAGATAAAGCCCGACTGATGTCCCCAACTTTCAACATAAACACCAAAAGTGTCTCCTCCTCTTCAGCCAGTAAGAATCCCACCTACTGCTTTACCTTCTACTACCACATGTTTGGGAAACATATAGGTGAGAAGGCAAGAAGATGCTCATTCCTTCTGGTATGACACATGACAAAATTGGTTTGCAGTACACTTCCTAATCTCACTGTTTATTTATTTTGTAGGAGCTTTGAATATTTTCTTGCGGTTGAAAGGTCAGATGCTCACAGATACCTTAATCTGGAGTCTTACTGGTAACCAAGGAAACTACTGGCAGCAGGCAAGGGTTAACATCCACCCAACCACAACCTTTCAGGTACAGTACATAGCTGGCTAGTGGAAAAGTGAGTATGGTTAGTTACATGGGGCAAAGTCCTTAGACTTCGTGGGTATTTTACATAAACATTTGGAATTTATATACTTTTATTCTTTACTAAATACATTTAATTAACATCTTGCTAAGCCCAAAATCATTCATACCCTATGGCAGATATATGTTAAAAATATTTAAAATCACTAACGTGTTTTCTGATTGAAACTGATATTGTTTTGCAGTAGCTCAGCCAGAGCTCTTCTTTAATCTGAATTTCTCTGTTGAACACACACCTTCCATCCAATACAGTAAATGTTCTTACACAAAATGAAATCTCTGTGAAAGTTTCAAGGGCTGTGGACAAGAGATATCCTTAAAATCCAATGGGGTTTTTTAACCTTAAGATGGCACCAACCAAGCTTTCAAAGTCTTTCTCTCGGTTTTCTTGATTCTTTGAATAGACAAAAAATGGAAGTGATCATGGACAACTTTTAATTAATTTTTACCACACTTTTGTCTTGAGACCCCAGTAGAGATCACAGTCCCATTCTTTACCGAAGGGATCAGCTGTTAGCCTTTCAAAGCACAAGTGTCCCAAATACCCATCATGCACCAGCATTGGGCTTCACAACAAAAGTACAGATGCATCATCGGGGGATATATGAGAACAATTCCCAACCAAATGGATGGATGGTTAGTGCCACCTTTCAGAAATGAAAATAAGGGATGCCCACTTTGGCTTCTTTGGGCCATGACCACCACATTCTAGTCCAGTCCAACTCTCATCATTCATACACAGAGTTGGATCACAGTATCCAAAAATTATACTCTAGTAAGTGTAGCTCTATTTTAACACAGTTGTGACATCTCAATCCACAAATGTATTTTTTAACAGGGAATGATCAGTAACTAATCAGATGGCTTCCTTGTTTCAGCCAATCATTGCAACGGACCCCACGTTGAAGCAATTTATGCACAAGTCAATCACGTTAGCTGATTGCAGCAGTGCTGTAGCCATGTTGAAGTGCAGGAAATGGCCTATATACCACGAGTGGTGGTGATGTATTTCCGTTTACATTTAAGCCACATTCATCATTTCCAGTTGCCTCTTACTCCAATTGTTTTTAGCAAGAGCTGCAAGAGCTATACCATGAACAAGGCAAAAAAGTTGAAATGTCTGCGAGCTACTGGTACAACAACTGAGTCTTGTTGTGTGCAGCTGTGTCCAGTGATTAGCACACTCCAGTGCAACATGTTTTAAAGATTTTCCTTCTGATATCAAGGTGACAATGAACCATAGCCATAGCTTAGCCACTGAAGCTAACACACGAGTAGATGCCCAGCATTTCAAATTGAGGATATTGAAGATCCAGCATCAGAAATAGGAAGACTATATTAAAAGAGATCTGTATAATGCTCTCTGGAAGGAAGAGAGCATGTTGTTCCTCCATGTTGTTAAGATACCTGGCTCATAATAAGGATGAGAAACTGCATCCAATAACAACCAAATAATGGGCAATAATTTTTTTCCCTAACATACACTGGATTGTGAATAAAATGCAATGAGAGGCTGCACAACAAATCCCAGCACATATAGCAACATTCATACACAAGCCAGCAAAGGCAGTGAGATCCGGGAGTATTTACCTGTGGCCATGAGAAATGTGTGCAGTAAGTCCATTAATCCGTACAGCCAGCTTCTCCCAGGCAACAGTCTCTGATACAGTTTTATTATCTAAGAGCAAGTCCTTGAAGCGACCAGCCAGAAGATTGCACAAATGTCTTCAGAAGGGGGGAGGAAATGGGAAAGAGCATCTTAATGATATGTCATCCAGGAGCTTTGAGATAGGCTGCCAGCCAAAGCTGAAACAGGGGAGCCAGTTCACATAGACAATATTCTTTAGTTTGCACAGACTTTAATTTTTCCATCTGCCCTAAAGTCTCACTGGTACATCTCTGTTTATTCCAATCATCCAAGTTAGTGTGGCTGTTCCCGCCGGGCTGAACTATGAACTTGTCCAAGATAGATTCCATCTCGCTGGTGAGCTTCAGGGCCTGCAGCGGGTTCGCAAATCTTAGCAAGAATCACATCCAACTTATGGCTCTGGACCCACAGCATGTTAGTCTGAGTGTTTGCTAGTCGACTCAATTCATCACACTGATCAGGTAGCTTGACAAAGGCCAAAGCAGCTGCAGACGTCTTCCAAATTACCCACCAACTCCAGACATCCTGTTATGAATCCAAATACAGATCCTCCATGTCTTTTAGGTATAAAGTGGACAGACAAAATTCTTTGAACATTCCAAGAGTCAAACATTTTCTCAACGAGAAGACTAGGCAAAGGGTTGATCAACACTGATGTTGTCATGTAGACACGACAACATCAGTGTTGTCATGTTGTAGAAAGGGACCCCATGTGTGTAGAAGGGGACCCGATTGCAGTAGGCAGAAGACGTAGAATGTTGAGGATGTTTTAATGAAGAAATTCAACTTACAAAAAATTCATAAATTCAGGGTCCAAGGAAATCCTAAAGGAAAAAAAAACTGAAGACACAAGGGAACATCAGGTAATCCAGGGAGTGCAAAATAGGTAGTAAGAAGCATAGTAATGAGACGGACTGGTGAGTTGTGGCTGAGATAGAGGAGCTTAAATACTAGGAGGTAGCAAATGGAACAATAGACCTAGCTAGATGAGATAACTGGTTGCAGATGTGAGTTGCTGGCACATGGAGGATAAGAAGATATACAGGGGAAAAAGAGGGAGGAGACACCAAGGAGCTGAAAATACTTCCAATACTAAAGAAACACTAAGACTAATGAAAATCTGATAAACTAGAAGAGAAAAAGACATGAGGGAAAACATAAACTTAAATAGAAAGAAGGCTGATCTAACAAGAATAAGAACTAAGGAACGTAGAGCTACGGTAACTAGAAGGACTAAAAGAAATCACGTAACTAGAATTGCTAAAGAAAGATGGACATAGATTCAGACAAAAAAACTAACTAAAGCTAAAGTGACAAAATAAGAAAACTAGAAACACTTCAGGAGAAAGCTAGAGGGACTTACAAAGAAATAACTTAACTGGAATCACTAAAGAAAGGTAAACCTAGACTCAGACATGTAAGAATAACTAAACCTGGTGAAATGAACTGATGAAATAACTAAGAAATAAACATTACTAGAAACACAACAGGGAGACTGACGCAAGAAATAACTAGGAGGAGTAAAGAAATAACTTAGAATCATAAAAGAAAGATATATATAAACTCAGACTTCTAAGAATAACTGAAACTAGGATGAAAAATAAACATAGCTAGAAATATTACAGGGGGCTGGAAAGGGGAAAGCAAGAACAATCTAACCAAAACAAATTACATCAAAATAGTAAAACTAAAATGACAATGAAGGGCTAAACTGAAGTGAACTAAAACATAATGCTGAATAAAATGAAAGGCAAAACCAAACCCAAAAATCCAGAGTCCTGACAGATGTGACAGAATGGACATTAGAAATAATTACACCACCTTCCTTTTCTTACTTTATTTGAAGATTTCTGTCTGACTATAGAAATGATTCTTAAGCTGCACTTCTCCTATATGGAGGACCAAAACAGACATAATAAGAAATAAAAGCATAATTATATATTTAGTTTATATTTAGAACTTTGGAACCAACGTCACTGCGTCAGACGTTGTGGGGCGTTTAGGTCCAGTCGCTCGGTGCCACCTTTACAGGCCACAGACCAAAACAAACTTTATCCCGGTGGTTTTATTGTGTTACTGACTACAGTGAAGTTAGTTTCCAGTTGGATATTTGATATTTCAATATCCGCAGAGCAAGTGGCATTTTAGCTCAAGGTTGATCCGATTTATGAATGCTAATTTCGGCCAGACATTCTCCAGCTCCCTCCTCAGCACTTGGAGGTTCACTTAGGGCCTCTCAACAAATTTCCGAAATGAACACTCCTGTCAAACAAATGTTAATAAATGCCTTGCCTTGTGACCAACTGATACAAAAATGTGGTAATTTATGCTTTTACATGAGACACACTACCCTCTATTAAAATGTCAAGTCATATTCAATATTTTAAATTACTTTAATTTTAAGTAATATAATGTTTTCTTAAATAGCTTCCATATTGTGTGCCACATTGACTAGAAATCAGTGTGTAATTGTTGTACTAAACTGTATATACGAGGCACATGCATTGTTATTCTAACAAATTTTCTATTTGTGTTACCTATTTTTTTATGTTAAAACAGCAAGCCGTTTTAACATAAATTCGGTTTTACTGCCCTTATATTCCAGATATCTCAAATTATTTTGAAGCTACACATTTTACAGATTTAAGATATCTCTAATTATATGTATTTCGACTAGACAAAATGACTATTTGAGATATCTCTAATTACATTCTGACTCAGTTTTTGTGCTGCTTTTTTGTAGCCTCTCTTTGCACATCCTCTGAATCTACAAATTATAGATCTGGTCAACCGGTCTCTCAATGCAATTGATCAAATTTTCTCAACATAAAGAGTGGGCAAAGGAGAGTCCACATGTCCTGCGGGGACATACCCAGTGGGATACATCCTGTATTTATCTGCATACACACTGCAGACACATTTCATAACAGGATTTCTGCTGTTCAGAATTGGTGGATACCTGGCATATTGACAGATTTGTGATGGATTACTCCAACTAGCGAACACTCAGACTGATATGCTGTGGAACAGAGGTGCAAGTTGGATGTGATTCTTGCTGAGCTTCGTTGACCAGCTGCTGACGCTAGAACTCGCTGGTGGGATGGAATTGATCTTGGAGAGGTTGCTAGTTTCGGTCCCTCGGGAATGGCCACACTAATTTAGATGATTGGAATCAACAGAGATTTAACGGTGAAACTTTAGGATAGATAAATATACCCGACCTGAAGCATATTGTCTGTATCTGAACTGGCTCCTCTGTGTCATCCTTAGGTGGCTTTCTATCTCAAATCTGCTGGAA